CACTGAAAACATTTTCCCCTGAAATAAATTCCAGTGAAAATGCCATTTCCTCACACTCTATTGAGACACAGCACAGTGAAAATTGGATTCACATGTAATGCTTGAAAACATGTCAGCAAAAATAAATTAAGTGAAATTCTACGTTTACTTCATAAGAGTTGGAAATGAACAAATTACACCCGATCCTACCACTCCATACACAATGTAAACTACACCCCAAAACATCCTTTCGCCCATGGGTACTATCGTGTTTCACCAGTGTATTGAAATAAACAAATTAATTATAATTTCAGCCTCTAGTTGAGCACTACCTCGTCTTTATGTCAACTTTAAGTTATTCATTGCCTACATCAGTGACTTCAAAATATATGTTTCAATCCCAAGAATTTAACTCGCTGTTAATTGCATGGGAGTGCCAGTCTTTCATGAATTACTGGGATTACTGGGAACATGAAGCTGTAACTAAATCCTGGTATAAGCACCGGTTAGGCAGGCTTGAACTATGCATGTGAAGCCACCTGAGAGGTATATTCAATCCAATAGATTTCTCATTGTTTGGTAACTATTTGCTGCAAATGCAGCAAAAATCAATATAAAAATATTACCCACACAGCATTCTACAGGTTACTTGTATCCTCAGTATTTGGATTTCAGTGAAAGTTTTAATTAATATATGACAAATATCTGGAGAAATTCATCTGCTCTGTCTGGATTTTTGCAAAGTAATACATATTCATTCTAATATTATCAGCTTTTGAAAACCTTGGCTATAATATTGCCCCTTTGTCATGCTTTTGCCCCTTGGTCATGCGGTTGTCCCTTGGTTATACTAGGCCATACTATTGCCCCTTGGTCATGCTCTTTAGTCATGCTATTGACTCTTGATCATGCTATTGCCCCTTGGCCATGCTATTGCCCCTTTGTCATGCTATTGTCCCTTGGCCATGCTATTGCCCTTGGTCATGCTATTGCCCTTTGGTCATGCTATCACCCTTTGGCAATGTATTGTCCCTCACCCAATCATAGATATATTAGAATCTTGATGTTTGCATTCAGTTGAAAAATGTATTCTTCATCGTATTAATCTTGGTGACAGAAAGATTTGAAAGAAAGTTATATGCATGTAGTGATGTGAGAATAAGCCCATTGCTTGTATAGCTGTTTTGAAAGTTAACATATTTGTTCTTCCGAAAATAAACCAGAAAATCAGCTGAAAAGCGGAATTTGTTCAACTTGTCAGATTTTAAGGGGTTCGTACACACCCTATGAGCTGCCTCTAAATTGTTTTTTTTTTCATTCGTGATTCACATTATCGATCAAATTTGCTTTTTCTCCTTATAGAAACTATGTCGCTAAGCGGGGACAAATTGTCCTCGTGTGAGATACAGAAAAATACACTGTTGAAAACAATTGGTATACTACAAGAAAATTGTAACAACCATGAAAAGAAGCTTGATCAAAAGAGCATCCAGGTTAGTTGAGATTTTTATTTTGAAGAAATATTCATTGTGTGAGTTCATTGATTTGACACAAAGGACAATAATATTTAATTTTACAGCCGTTCTGAGAATTATTCGGACAGTCAGTTAGCAAAATGACTTCCAACTTTGCAAAACACTTTGGTCTTTGCCCAATCTAGATTTGTCGGCGCCACTTGATAGGGGTTGTCGGCTTGGTGAATTGTAAGTATTATCTAGCGTGCGTTCACAGCAACCATTCTTTATTTTTTATAATTATATTGTAATTATTTTCAGTAATTTTGAAAATCACAAGTTGGATGTTGCTTAAATCTGTCGAAAAATGTCAACCCCTCGCTCATTTTAGTCAGTTGGACCTGTTACAAAAATGGACTAGACATAATAACAGTCGTTATACCCGTCATTTTCAAACTGCAGTTGAAAAAGTGATTTGATCAAGGAAGGCACTTTTGATTTGACAAAATCCATCAAACCATTATAATCAAGTTTTCCGTCTGTGTATCCCTGACGTACTCACAGCACCAGTAATGTAAAAACAACTTTTAGTTTGGTGCGAAACTGTCGCGAAACTGCAGCGCGTCCCGCTAAGAAACTTTACTTTGAGCCTTCCCGCCAACGACGAGTTCATTATTACCTGGTGTTACTCAACACTCGGAAGTTGTTTTGTAAATTACGCTATGTTAGGTGGACTCAGATGGTTATAACAATTTAAAATAACACTTTGAATGCATATACAACATATAACCTGTTAATATATGGTAA